ATACAGCGCCATCTAGTCCCAAGTTAAACAGTTATTGTGTTACTAGACAACTGATAGATATACATACATACCTTTTGTATTTGTAATTACATACATGTTATATGTATACTAGCTTTTACCCGCGGTTTCACTCGCGTTAAATTATCCCCTTAGGGGTGGAATTTATCAAAATCCTTTCTTAGCTGATGTCTACATCATAAAATCTACCTGCATGCCAAATTTAAGCCCAATCCGTCCAGTGGTTTGGGCTGTGTGTTGATAGATCACTATGTCAGTCAGTCACCTTTGGGTTATATATGTTTAGATAGATATTATCCAGACCGATACAAACAGTCATCTAGTCTCATGATATGCTTATCTTGGGATTAGATGACTGATGACTTACTGATCTTGTGTTACGGGTGCTAGACAACTGATATAAATACTTAGATACACTTTTATTTGTAAATATATACACAATGTACATAGTGTAGTAAGTAATGTTTGAATATACATAATATACATTCAGACCGATACAGACATTTATAAGTATGAATTCATAAGATTAATAATATATTTGACAATTTTGAAATTCTGCCCGTAAAACTTCAAGTAAAAATTTTGTTGCCATTGGTTGTTCCACTTCTCCGTCGAAGCGAAACTTCTACTCCGCAGCATCCCAGTTCTGGATTGAAAAGATCGATGTTATTTATTCATACCTTGAAGGGAGTTGGTTCCTTGACTCTGGCTGTTTTGTTGGTTTTGCCAGTTATTCTGAATTCCTTTGCCTGAATAGAAAATGAAAAATCAAAGCTGACTTAAAATTCACCTAAATATTTTGTATCGTTACAGTAGATCACATTATTAATATAATTTAATGGGTTGTTAAAATAATTTTAATCTCTAGAGGTCGAGCCCTTCGACCCTCTGATGCTCCATAATTGACCCGAGAATTAGTTTTTAAAACCCTTGAAAAACTACAATTTTCTACCGCCATCTTGGATTTTATTTTAACTCGAAATGCAGCCACCTTCGACCCTCTATGAACAACCGCTTTAACGTAATCAATCTGGATAGAAATTGGCAAAGTTACGCCGCCATCTTGTTCCGCCATCTTAGATGTATTTCCCCATCATTACGATCTTCCGTTATTCCTGGATAACAACTATGTCTATCATTGAGCGAGTCACTTTAAATTCAAGACGTAAATCACTTATATTATAGATAAGGTTAAATTCTGGTACTCTATTCTGCCAGATTTGAATTTAAAAATTAATCTGTATTATTGTAAACATGTTATATTAATTTGAAAAGAAAGCTGAGTTTATTGTCAGTTCTTCTCATCTCGAAATCATTCCGTCCTGACGGTAGATTTGACATATCATAAGAGTCTGTAATAGACATGAATAAAGATATTTTGAATTTGAATACCCTCTCTCGATGTTTCGACTACGAGGCTCTAACCGTGGTCATGAGCTGACTAGAGTACAAGCAAATCAATGTATGTAAATGATTAATTGTTCAACGAAACAATAAAGAAACAATATGAGATGGTAATACAGGTATGAGAATTGTTAGCGGTATGATCTATAATCATATGCTAGGGCTTTATTTATATGCCAGTTTAGGTTGTATATAAGTAGTTTATTAAAATAAAAATAAATTTCGAACACATATAGTTGTATAGAAACGGTATAAAAAAAATTTTTATTAGAAGTACAATAGTTGAAGAATGTTTGTAGAAGAAGTTGTTTTTGTAGATAGTTTTCCCGCGCAAACGCAACGTGCCACAGATTCACAAATATTGCACGGCGCGCAGCCGCAGTAGGATGGCGAGCGCGTCATGGCAGTATGTGAGATGTTAGTACTAAGCATGAGTATTAACAAGTATTAACACTTGTCTATTGATGAAATTAAAAATGTTATTCATACATTACCTGGCTGAATGGAGTTGCTTCCTTGGTTCTGACTACTTTGTTGGTGTTGCCAGCTATTTTGAATTCCGTCGCCTTTTGCTGGAAATTAATAATATGCGAATATCATAAGTGGTGAAGAAGTACTGCAAAGGTTTAAAGAAAAGGTACAGATCATAAATATTATTGAGAATAGGCGGGGGAAAATGTTAGGGCTCTTGATAGGATACGACGCGTTAATAATACAAGTAAAATATTTACTAGAAAACTATGTTCTGACGGTCGGTGGTGGGATTTTTAAAAGCAAAGAAAGTCCATTTAAATTATTTATTTAATTCTAATTTACAATTATGAATCATAATTGATTCGACTAAATTAACCTGTTCGCGCTCATGACTAAAACTAGAGTGACCGTCCACCTGTCTTCTCTTGTTCTCGTACTCTTGGATGCCGCTCATTTGAGTCAGCAACTGTTGGAAAGTATTGGGATATACTTTCCAAGAACAATCGCTGTATCCATGCCGATTGTGTAACTACAGGTAGGTAGTTATATGCACCTAGGGTATTTGTACCCGGAAAGTTTTTGAGTATGTGTGGATAGTTGTTTGTTACTGTTTCACGCAAAAGCAACTGAACTAATTTTGATGATATTACAGTAATATAGCTTATACATCAGAATAACGTGTAGGCTACAAATCGAAGCGAAGCTGTGGGGATCAGCTAGTGAATAATATTATAGAAAAAGACATATAGAAGGAAAGAGGGGAAGGGGAAGACCAAGACACAGCTATATCAGCAGATTAAGGAAAAAGTTGGAGTCGAATCCAATCAACAACTATAAAGACCTTCTGTCTTTTCTCCTCCACCCAAAGGTTGTCTGGAAGAGATTGGCATAAGCGATTAACCGTACCTTTTGTACCCATATTCTAAATATTGTTTCCTTTTGTATAAGTTTATGTTTTTTTTTTGTTATTATGGTGCAATAAAGAATAATAAATAAATAAATAAAGATTGTTAGAAAATCATTGAAAGTGGCAAAGTTCCACCGACAAGATCGCTTAAATTAAGAATGTATTCAGACCTCAAAACAGTTGATATGAATGTTACACCAAACTTACCATTTTGTATGGAGTTACTTCCTTGGTTCTGGGAACTCTGTTGATTTTGCCAATTGTTATCTACGTTTGCTACGAACAAAAAAGTAATATTTAATTATTCATTTTCCTACTAGGTCTCTTCCGTGACTTCGTATGCTTTTTTCAGTTAAAAGCACGGGCGTAGCCGGCCGTAGGCTAACTGAACTCACCGTCTTACACCGATTATTTTATTCATATAAAACGTTTACACCCAATATTATATATACTATAATATATATGTATATATACTAGCAGTTGTTGTGGCTACTTGCAATAAAATGACATTGTGACTATAAATTGAGATGTAAGCTATCCTATCTTTCAAGTTGGATCTTATTGCACACAATGTGCAAATCAAATTTGTAATCGGTTCAGTAGTTTAGGAGTCCATCGCGGACAGACAACGTGACACGTAATTTTTATATATAAAGATTATACGACTTTTATATATATTTTTTGTTATTATATCTGTATGACACATATGTTTTTGTGTCGACTGTCGAATATGAGCTTTCTTATGGATATTAGATAACTTAGTACTTAGATAAATTATTTTTTTAGGTTTGGTTAGGTACGTTACAGGTCAGAGAGCCGGGGTGAGTAAGCCCCCACCTATTCCCATGGTAGCTACCCCATGGTCAAAATATAGCATAATGTACACCCAACAATGCTCAACACTAAACTCTGAACTACCAAAGCGCCCTCTGATACTAAGTAAAAAGTATAAAATATTGGTGTTGATTTGTTCAACTAAATTAAACTTATTTCGATTTCTTATAAGTTATATGTATAATATTCTATCCGTGAAAACCTATAAGTGGCCGTTCTCATTTAATTATGTTTGTAAATAGCCTTGGTTTTCCGAAAATAAATAAATAAGAAACTAAAAAAAATATATAGTAAATATATAGTATCTATATTAAATGCTATTGACCGTAACAGAATGCCAGCAACCGGTGCCCCGCCAGGGTATACCCTCAGCTCGAGCATCACACCACCATTGCAGTCATCTCTTATATCGTCATCATAAACAGTACTATCTCTTAATACTATATTCTACCATTATGTTATGCCACTATTCATTAATAGCATACTATACTTACCACGCGGAGCAGCGTTAGCAGTTAGGATCTGAAATAAAAATTCTAAATTAAAATTTCGACAATTTGTATTTATTTGTATTGAAACGCAAGAACTGCCTCCCAGCTGATTAAGTGACGTAGAGATTGCCCTATTTTTTTTATAACCACCGATTTTAGACGATCCGTCACTTTTGCTTTGTACAGTGTTAAAAAGCGTACGCTTACTTTTATGTTTTACTTAACAGTAAGTACTTTAAGACTAGGAAGCTAATATCTTCCTAGTGTTAAAGTAAAAGATAAACATACAAGTAATTGTATATATATATATCAATTAACACTAATCACTTGTATATTTATCTGAATAGAATAGAATAGAAAATCATTTATTCAAATAAACTTAATTTAAGCACTTTTGAATAGTCATAACAATTTGTTTTTTATCTACCACTCGTTCGGAAAGCTGTCTCATCACAAGAAGAACGAGCAAGATCTTTTAAATTAACTCTATATTTATCTTTAATTTTAACTCTTCAGTTGTCTCATTAGAAAGACCTTTTTCGTATAGGTTCTTTTTAGCTATAGAGGTTTGGTTTGCAAACATTTGGTTCGTGTTTTTATTAATTTGTTTTCTAGAATAGAATAGAAAATCATTTATTTAAATAATAAGTATTATAAACTCTTTAGTATTAAAAAAATATATGATGTGTCTTTTGACGTAGATTGTCATCTATGAATTCAATAAACTTGTTACTACTAACTATAAATCGTTATTTTAATTTATAAAAATAAGTTTATTAAATATATATGTATAAGTTGTAATGTGTAAGCATTTTTATTGAGTGTATGGTTAAATTTTAGTGTAAATTAGTTAATAGTGATATTATTTACAATATTTGTGTTAGAAAAGGCAATACAATGGATTTCACGAGAAATGGTAAGTTTTCCATTTAAATACAGTCTTATGATTAATTTATATTTAATTAATTACGAAAACTGGAAACGAGAGTGATAAAAATGGTACGAAATATAACCTAGATTATTTAATTTGATATATATATATATATATTATAGATAAAAAAAATGTGATGACTATTCACATTTTTTTTATCTATAAAAGTGTTTAAATAATAATAATAAAGAAATTCATTATTACAATATTCTTATTGAATATTTACTCATCATCATTGCCTTGCCTTTATCCCATTATTTGTGGTCGGCGCAGTATGTCATTCTCTTCCACTGATCTCTATCGGTCGTCATATCTAAACATACTCTACTTTTATTCATATCATCTTTCACACAATCTATCCATCTTTTCTTAGGGCGTCCCCTCCCTTTATTGAATATTTACTATACAACTTAAAAGCTAAAACATACTGGTAACACTGAATGTGACTCTCAGCATTTATACTGTAGTATAACTAAGTGATACCACAGCGCTGATGTTAAGTGTGGCCACCACACACGAGACAGCGTACGTACAGATAACAAAATAACTTCCTGCCAAGGTTTTCCCACGAGACTACAGCATAGGGTTTTTCAAGAAGGGTATATTAAGGTTTCTTAAGGGTCGGCAACGCGCATGTGATACCCCTGTTGTTTCAGACGTTCATAGGCTACGGTAACCATTTACCATCAGATGGGCCGTATGCTTCATTGCCACCATCGTAGTATATAAAAAAAAGAAAATAAAACGTTACGTTAAGACCATTACAAATAGGTATGTAAATTAATGTAAAGATAAACTTTATTTGAATAAAGACTTATTCTATTCTGTTCTAGAATAATTGATTTCAATTTGATTTACTTACGCTAAACGCGCACAAACAAACGAATTTCACAAAACCGCCCATGATGAGATCTTGGACCCACTAGATCCGTGTAACACCGACTATAACCAACAAAATGGAAGCCCAATTTATATACTATATAAATGTTCGTTAAACAAATACATATGACAATAAATTAACTCGGTATCAATTGTATAAAAGCAGTCTTTACTCAAGTGGCGTGTTGAATTTTGAAGGTGTACCAAATTCGGTTTATAACACTACTGAGTAGGTAAGTAGGTATATTAGTAAATTGGGGAGGGGAGAGTTGTACAGTAATAATAATAATAAAACTAACAAAGTACACAGATCTAGCAATAGAATTTAAAAAACAATGGAAAGCACACACCATCCACATAGTACCCATAGTTTTGTCATCCACAGGAATTATACCAAAAAGTTATAACAAACACCTAGACACATTGCATATCCCCTCCTCTACAATAGACCTATTACAAAAAGCCGTCATACTAAACACATGCCGAATTGTAAGAAAATTTCTTTCTTCATCACATAACTCATCCATGCTTGGCTAAGGCCCGCGTGTTTGAATATATTACCCCCGTCAAAAGGGAGATATAATATATATATATATATATATATATATATATATATATAATAATAAAACTCTTTATTGTGTATACATAAAATAATAAGAAAATACAGTAAATAGTAAAATAATTACAAAAGGCGGTCTTATCGCTAAATGCAATCTCTTACTGACAATCTAGAAGAGAGGACTATGTACTGTACATAGAATAGGGTAGGTGGCACACATAAGACACTATTATACTACTAAATATACATACTTACATTAGGGATAAATACATAAACCTACATATTGTAAGAAATGAGAAAAAAATAAAAACATGTACTATGAAGAGAGATAATGAGATCTTAGTCTATATTTAAATGATGCATGTGTTTGAGCTGATCGAATGGAGAGTGGTAGAGAGTTCCAGAGGCGAATGGCTTGGACAGTGAAGGAGTTGGAATAATATGTGGAGGAGTGAGCAGGCATCGTCAAACATAGGCTTCTGGTACTACGCAAAGCAGAACCGGGAGATTTAGTATGTAATTGGAACTTTATTTTTTGATATTCAGGGGTGGAGTGGTAATTCAGTAACAGGTCATAGGAACTAGTGGCTGCGTAGAGACTGCAACCAAAGAGGTAAACTGTACATCAGTCTTATCTATTTCTATAAATGTTACCGGAAAACGTAAAAGGAGGTTGCATGTCTTTCCATAGCAGTAATCAATATACGACCTTATTTTTATTAAAAGCGGGGATTACAAGAAGAGAAAGAAATAAAATCAAAACCAGTTTTTATTTGTCATGTAATAAACTATTTGACTAACTTTAAACGAAATTTGATACACTGATAATCTAGAACCTAGAATATGATATTCAAAGTTTATAAAAATGTTGCCCTTATACATTATCATTATCATAATCTATACATTTAATTTAATTTAAACAAATTATATCATTTACATAACTTAATTATACAACTACAACCTAAAATTAAAAAGCTTAAAAAATATAATATAATAACTAAAATATATTATTAAAAGGGGTCCCTTTAGGCAAAGTTCCGAAGATACTGGCAGCGTTCCCTCTTTGAATAGCTAGACTAATTCTTTGTCCAAGGTAGCTGCCAACTCTTCTATACAAATAAAATTCGACTGTCTGTTTGTTATATTGAAATAACCGTTTTATACTACATGCATATATGAATAGAAATACGGTACATACACCAAAATAACATTTTTTACAATTTCTGTCTGTCTGTTTGTTCTGTTTTTTACAACTTTTGTGGCTGGACCAATTTTGACGGGACTTTTTTTGGCAGGTAGCTGATGTAATAAGGAGTAACTTAGGTTACTTTTAAATTAGAAAAAAAATATTATTTTAGAAAAATAAAGTTAATTTCCTCGCGGACCAAGTCGCGGGAACAGCTAGTGATAAATATAATATATTGTTTCGATCAGATTTAAATTCACGACCTGTCGGCGCAAGTTGCGATAATAACCACTAAGTCACGACGTTCTCTCAAAATAAAACTAAAATAAACTCTGTTTGTGTTCAATATATTATAAAAGATGTTTGTACCTTTTGTTTCATTATTCAAAACTACACACGTTAAAACGTACACTTGTGCATACATATTAATAATGAAATTCAATGTAACTTACAATGAATTATATTATTTATTTCATTATAATCTGAACAATATTTATTGTTACAAAAATAACGATGAATATCACTTTAAAGTCAGCGTCACGAATAATATACATATATTTAAGTATATCATCATCTGCTTCTTCCTTATCCCATTTATTTGTGGTCGGCGTAATGTTTTTCTCTTCCATTCATCCCTGTTCGCAGTCATCTCGTTATTTACTCCCTTTTATGATATATTACAAGGCATAAAAGACATATAGGCACACACAGTTCACTCATCATTTTTCATTGAACCACATTTATATATAACACTTTCTGTATAACATTATCTCTCTTTTATATACTACTTTCATACTTACATTATATCATCTTTTACATACATATTTCATACTTACATACTTTTCTGATGTTTTCAGATTCATATAAGCATATGTTTATTATATCACTCACCAGTTGTCTATACATATACCTACTTTAGATGTACGCTCTAGGGGGAATATGTTGTTATTGTTAATAATGGGGACTATCCCATTGCTAGTAATGAACCATGTCAGGTTGACCTCCACGCGGTTCCCCCTGGAAACCATCGTAATAAATTCTTGGTGAATTTGTCACGATGGGCTAACTGATCTCTCGTTTTATCATCCTCCACTGGTGTCCCGCAACGAAAACCGTTTGCGCAGAGGTGTACACCATTTCATTATCATCGTCCATAAAAAAAACGTACGCTCTTTCACGCATGAGTCGGGTGTCATACAGGATAGAGTAATATACTCTACATATAGTATATAGTAATATACTATACACATATGTGTATAGGCATTTATAGAAGAGAACGAGAAAGACCTTAGCGTCTTTTTGTAACAATTATTTATCATTGCATAATGGCGGACATCTAACTATGGAGTAATTACATAACTATAGAGTTATTGGTAATAATTTTTAAATGTCTTTGGAAAATAAAATCTCGAAATCGAATAATAAATAACATTTTAAAAGAACGATTAGAAGGGTTCGGAAACACTGCTTTTAACGAAAAACAACTTATAAAGTAACCTTATTAAACCGTTGTCAATAAGCTTACTTTACAAGTAGATGGTCACTCTATTCTCCCATATTTGAATTTAAAGATAATTGTAATCTCATTATAAACATGTACTGTTTCAAAAGAATACGAGCTGAGTTTCTTGTCAGTTCTTCTCATCTCAAAATCATTCCTAACTGACGGTAGGTTTGACATATCATAAGAGTCTGTAATAGATTTCAATTTGTATTTTGAATTCGAATCAGCCAATTTAAACATGTAATACTGGTAGAACTCACTGTACCATGGGAAATAAATATGCCTAAAGTCCATGCAATGAACACAAATAAATATTACAAACTAACAAACGAATTGATGAAAACAGCTATGTGGTTAATTTACGAGTACATGCGGTCGAAGTGGGAGCGAGAGGTGTACTAGCGAAATGTCTCTACAATATTCTAAAAGATCTTAGCTTGTTTAAAATTACATTTGGATCTATATTAGAACATGTACCTTAAAATTGCACTAGCCCTGACAAATCTAATAGGAGTCTCTTACCAGATTTGGTCTGGTCGTGAAGAGAAACACGAACGGTATAGATGAGTGTGGACGTCGGTAAAGCGACCCCTTAAACCTACACCCGGGTCACAAGTCCCGGGAACTGCTCAGAGTTGCCATCTCAGCACCGCATTTTCTACCGCATATATCACGGGGAATGTTCTGAGGAATTGTTCGGATTAATACCAGCTGCTGAGTATTACCACCGTACCACCCGCCAGAAACTGAAATACCATCCTGATCATCTGGATGAATGGCGGTCTTCCACAGTGCGGTTTTCTAGAAACTTTTTGCCTCGCACAACCACATTGTGGAATCACCTTCCAGCAATGGTATTTCCGAACCGATACGATATTGAAACCTTCAAGAAAAGAGCTTATTCCTTTTTAAAAGGCCGACAACGTACTTGCAATTCTCCTGGTGTTGCGGGTGCTCATGGGCGGCGGTAATCACTTACCATCAGGTGAGCCGCATGCTCGTTTGTCCCCTGTGTTATAAAAAAAAACCCACACGCTGAGAAGTTCGTATCTATTCATTTATCTAGGCGGAATAAGTAATAGCTATCAAAATAATTTAGTTTATTTACTACAATCAAATACTTTTGAAAATTGGAGTTATAATTTTGTAGAATGAGTCTTTAATTTTTTCCTTTCATTCCAATGACTCATGCGCCAGCGACCACTTTCTTTTCTGCTCTACTCAAAGGTTGTCTGGAAAAGATCTCTTAAGCCGCGTTTTGTACCTACATGCTCTATTCTATTATCTTTTGTATTTTGTTAAGGTGCGATAAAGGGTCATAAATATATATTTATTATTTTGTGTAGTTAGTAACTACTCGCCCCGGCTTCGCACAGGTGTACATGTACTATATATATAAACCTTTCTCTTGAATCACTCTATCTATTAAAAAACCCGCTTCAAAATCCGGTGCGTAGTTTTAAAGATTTAAGCATACATAGAGACAGATAGCGACAGCGACTTTGTTTTATACTATGTAATGATATATATACTCTATATATGTTATAATTGTATCGGTAGTCTAGCGGACCATCTCACAGAGCCTACTTTGTACATTATTTCAGTTTAGGTTTTTTCCGTACTACTATGGTAGCAGACAAGAATGAACATGAATGTGGATGGTTATAAGGGTAGAGGACGACCGAAAAAGAGATGGATGGACTGTGTGAAAGATGATATGGTGAGACAGGGAGTAAATAACGAGATGACTGCGAACAGAGATGAATGAAAATGATACGCTGACCACAAATGAATGGGATAAAGAAGATGATAAGGTGGCAGACAAGCATACGACACATCTGAAGGTATATGATGCGATTAGGTAGTGAAATCACAGAATAAGAGGCATGATTGTCCTCTGGAATGACATACGGGTTTCACATTATTATATGGTATCGATAGTGCTGCTGTTCTTGATATGGGCTTACCAGGTCATCAGTTTGTTTGCCATTCTCGTTACTAAGTGTTTTACTGGATGGCATGGAATGTAATATTGATTATATGATATAATATTGATGATATAAGATATAGTCGACATCACAGAAGACCGAAGAGCTGGCAGCTACCTTGGACAAAGAATTAGTTTAGCTATTCAAAGAGGGAACGCTGCCAGTATCTTCGGAACTTTGCCTAAAGGGACCCCTTTTAATAATATATTTTAGTTATTATATTATATTTATTAAGCTTTTTAATTTTAGGTTCTTAGTTGTACATATTGATGGTAATATTGTCAATATAATATTGCGATTTTGCGCCATTTTACCTATTTTTTCGTGTTCATTATAAATTACAATATAGAATGGAGTCTTAAAAACAAAAGGATTGCAGTGATCGCCTTGCACAAAGCCTTTGGTCTTATTGCAGACACTTTAAAAGCTTGGTACTGATACCAATTCTATGTTCTCGTATATCGTAAGTACTATCAACAGATACAACAACACTGTTTGTCGAAGACCAGAAAAGATCAGTACAGTCGCATGCTGTTAGAAATACAATGGCTGTTAATGATGTTAAAGCCAGAATTCGTTGAAAAGAAGTAGTGAGAAATGAAGATCCCCGATATTTAGGACATGCCCTAAATCAATCTTTACAATTAAAGAGAGAGAGGTAAATACCTTTATTTGCCATAAAATTATTCGTGTTAAGACCCGGTTAATAATTTAAATAATGTATATTAAACACAAAAGTATAAATTAAATAAAGAGAGTGGATCGATCAAAACGCCTTCTGTCGTAATACGCAGGTGAAAGGCACAGAAACACCCTCTTTTCCAATAAAAAATATTTCACGATTGAAGAACACTTACAAAAAGCACAGACTTTTCAGCAGGAATAGAATAGAATAGAATAGAAAATCATTTAAACTTAATTTAAGCACTTTTGAATAGTCAACATTTTTTTAAGAATAAGCAAGAAACTTGTGTGCTCTAAACAATCCTTGTAAGTTCACGCTTATTCGGAAATAAAAATTCAAATAAAAAAAAATGTCTCATCATACTATTTATAAGAATAAGCAAGATCTAATAAGGCTTGTGTGTTGCTATATGTTTAGTTAATTCATTAATTAAGGTTGACTGGGTGAGAATGCTATAGCATTAAGTCAACCTTTTGTACCAATTTTAGTGGTCAATAAAGCAAATAAATAAATTATAATAATAAAAATAAAATATTAATTCTCTCTGGATAATTAGGTCTATTATAAGGATACTATATATATAATAATAAAATAAAATGTTGCCAGTAATTATTATCATTTAATCATATTACATTGTAACAGAATTACGGAGTAAACAAATTCCAAAAGTTGGAATAAGAAAAGTAAATCATTGATGTATTAAATATTATCATATTAGAGAAGACATGACATTTGCCAACGCACCATTAATCAGTTGTGGTGACTTCGCCGCATTTCACTTTGTTATTCGTCAGTCGCTTAATAGTAGGTACATACTTTGTTGATATAAATGTATCTACATATAATATGCAATCATATGCTAATGCATATGCAGTATCTTAATACATACTGCACAAATACATATTTTAAAAAGATAACTGCACTACTGAGAAATAAAGACAAGTGCTCACACATGTACTTTTGTAATGACAAAAAGAAGCAACTGCTAAATTACACTGTATTATTTTATTCTTTGCTTGCTGTATTATTTCATACATTGCTTTTTGTTTAAAGTACCGTACATTGAATGTCATATGCGGTACTGTTATTCTGTGGCGTCTTCTCTATTAGTTTCTAACAAAATATCTCAATGTTCTTAATGAAAATTAATTATAAATGCATAACTAAATCAATTTTAGAAGCAGATTATTCTACGGAGATTTCACTAGGACTTGGTCATCAGGTTCATTCCCTTGTTAGTAGACGACTACTGGAGACGGTGCTGTAAATAAAAAAAAACTTTAAGAAAAAAATCTCGCGAAACTACAGCATAAGGTTTTTCGAGAAGGGTATATTAAGGTTTCTCAATGATCGACGAACGCATGTGACACCTCTGGTGTTCCACGCGTCCATAGACTACGATAACCGTATACCATCTTGTTTGTTCGTATGCTTGTTTCCGCCATCAGAATATAAAAATTGGACAAAATACTGTTTTTATTATGTAATTCTCAGGGCATGTAGGATTGCCCACCTGCTGGTAAATGTTAACGGTCACATATATAAACTGTAGAGTATCAGATCATCACGTTAATGGTGATTTCCCATTCGTAAGGAGTACGATGCCATGGCTCTGTACCCTATAATTTTTCTGGCCGGTGTTCAAATAAAAACTTACCTTCAACCAATACATCTAACAAAGCAAGCTGCTTGGCGGACGATAAACGTAGATGAGACTGAGGACCTATATACCCATGCAGGCGACTTTGTAAATAACCTACCTCGGTAATATAAGACTCGTTATAAGAATCTAATCTAATAAAATCTAAAACTCAGTCCTCTCTACTTGTATAAACTATTCTGTATATCTTTATATTGTCGATATATTCATTTGTTTAAATCTGTTAATTTCAGTTAGTTAACTGTTCACTTATATAGCCAAAAGTTTTAGCTCTTTCCTAGCTCTCATCATTAGAAGCTCTTGTCTTTGATGTCTCTAATTTTTCATACACTACATATCCTGTAGCACTACCTTCTCTTCCACTAAGGGATCTGTCATTAAGATATATGTAAGATATAATAAGATATATACCTGATACCCTACGTGGTCTGTAGACAGGGTAACTTGGTGAAACAATCGATCCTGCTCTATTTAGACCATTATTTATAATCACAATCTTTTCACTTGGTTGTCCAATCACTGCATCTACTCCTACAGACCTTTGAGATGCTCTGGACACTCCATCCAAGGGACTTAATCCAAGTGGTCTACTAATACCATAACCTTGGGATAGCGAGTTCCAAAATGGGCTAACTGGAGTTACGAGAGCATTACGTGGAGCAACTGATTCCCATGATTGTAATCTAGCTGGTCTTGGGCGGAGTGGTGACAGCCAAGGGTTCCTTGGAAGCCAGCTATTCCATGACCCAGCTCCTGTAGAGACAGAATAATATACCTTCAGGACTGATCCAGATGAGGCAGTCAGAGGTATTGTTAACTGAGCGTGATGAACTGGCTATCGGAAGTAAGGTGGTAGTCTATTTTTAGACCATCGAGACCATAAATAATACTTGCCTAACTTCCATAACCAATGAAAAGCTGAAGAGGGTCCCTATTGGTACAATACCGAGGTAAAGTTTCTACAAAATCGTCTGCGTGCGAAGAATCCTTTAACATATATTTATAGGTATGTACGTTCCGAGGGAAATGTCCTAAATTTCGTTAGGTATAAATATTGCAAGTTGGTTTTAAATAAGCCGAGCGAAATGTGGGAAATTGCGCTCGGTATATTTGAACCTAACGTTCTATGGGACGAGCCTACCGCCATTTTCGATCAATTTTAGTTTGATATCGGAGTTTGTTTTACGGGAGATTCAGACATTTGCTCACCCAAAATGTTAGCAGAACTGGTGGCTTCACTAATTGCAATGGATTCTGATACTGGGCGTTGGATGTTGACAATATCTGAAAGATAGATACATAGATAGATAAGAATTTTATTTGTATACTAGAGGAACGATCAGACATTAATATATATATTTTTTTTAATTGTCGATGCAAAAAAGGGTGTTATGAGTTTGAGGTGTCTGTCAGTGATAGCGTAGCTTCATAACGATTTTTTACTTATAAAGGACGTGAGTTGACGTAATCAAGTATTGTACCGTGAGAGGAATCGACCCGGGCGACTATCAGAAATAAAGCGTTGTATTATATACGGGAAAGTTTGAATATGGTTTGTTACTCTTGCAAAAACTATTGAACCGATTTTGATGTAACTTTATAGTAATATGTATAAGCACATCAGAATACATATAGGCTATAAATTTCAGGCATGTGAAACCACGACCGTAGCTAGTTTTATATCTTCATCGAACTATAAAAAAAATATTGTGACAGTTTCAACAGATTTGTTTGTTTTACTAGATATTGCCAATAATAGCGTTGTTTGGTCAAAGTTTTGAAAATAAACTTCATAATTTTATTACTATGTGTTCAGGCTCAGTTATACTATATATGGCCCAAATATTATTTTTATATAGCAACCCTGCAACGTAGGGTTTTCAGCGGGCCAGAGACAATATGACAATCGTTATAAGTTAATAATCGAAATCTATCAACGATTGAATACGCATTATCACGCATCAATTGTAAACCATTTTCAAATAAATTAAAAACTAGCCTAAAATCTCCGACTTTAATTACACCATCAAGAACACTATGTTAAAAAATAAATTTATGTACTATTCTCTCTCGTAGTACTTTAGGAATGTTAGTTAGTAAAGGAAATTTATTATAATTTAGTAATATTGTAATATACTACTACCTCTGTTGGCTGCAAATAAACAAATAAATGTCATTAAAAAATAATAATGTACAATTAATTTCATGATAAGATAATTTGTCAGACATCTGTCCGTTCTTCGGAATATTTATTATTATTTATATTAATTGAACTTTTATATCTGAAGGTAAAGTTATAACATACGAGTACGTTTAACGGTAGGGAAAATATTATATTATACAAAATTTACGTTCATAAGCGACTAAAATGTACTACATGAATAAATTATTTTTTAATTTGAATTTGTATATATAAAATCATAATCAATGTTAATATTGTCTCTAACAATAATTATTACATTAATAATTTAAATGAACTCACCAACAACAGACGCGGGCCTAATTGGTCCCAAAGTAGGCCGCTGAACGTCAATGTCTGGAGGTATATTCAGAAATTAGGCAACAACTCAACAATATAACGAAAATTAAGTTTATAAGTGGCTATTGTATTCTATATTGAATAAAACAAAGTATTCTATGTACATAAAGTTATCTACAAATATAAGTAAGTCGTTTATTTGCATTACAGACAAGATAGTAAACAATTATTAAATTGTATCATTATTGTATTATATATTGTATCATAATTAAATGGTAATTTAACATTATGTTATACAAACTGACTCGTCAACTTCGTCTGCAATACACTGGACATTTATTTCGCACAATTTACAAAATTTCATTTTAAATTATAGCTTATATGTTATATAATTTATGCACATGCTTATAGCACATGTGTCATTCTGATGTATAAGCTATATTACTGTAAAGTTTCATCAAAATCCGTTCTATAGTTTTTGCGTGAAGGAGTAACAAACTTTTATCTATCCATCCATACTCAAAAACTTTTGCGTTTATAATATTAGTAAGATTATCATAGATAGCCTTGGTTCCGAATAAATGTTTATTTTATTATCTACTAGATATATCCTGTGGTATTACTTGTGTGGATAACACATAAATAGTAAGTGTATAATAGTATCTGCTTCTTGAAAATTCATGATAATTAGAATGAAATTCTATAACGAACTCACCGACAACACTCGAGGGCCTAAGAGATCCCCATCCAGGCCGATTTTGAATGTCAATGTCTGGAAATGTATTCAAATATAAATAAACATCATTACGATAAATTAACTGACATATGTTACCAAAATAAATCATTATTAGGGACTATCTATAAATTACATCACTCGAAGTTAGAAAGGGGTCCACAAAGAGTGACATTGTATAACAAAGATTTGGAGAAGATGCAAACTTCGTGTAAAAATCTAGAACTCGCCGAACCATCCCCAGTATTATGTCACATATTAGTTCCAAAACCAGAAATTTTAACTATTAAAATGTGACCAAGTTATGAAAATTGATGTGACAAACTAATCTATTTTTAGCCTCTTATTAATTTATTATTTTTTTACTACTACATCAATGGAATTGAACCCTGGTATTTATTTAAAATTTCGTAATTATTGTTTACTGAACTTACCAACAACACTACTGGGTCTAAGAGGTCTCAATGCAGGTCGTTGAATGTCAATATCTAGAAATACATTTACAAATTAGGCGTCATCTGAACAAGTTAATAAGAATCAATTACATCTTGCTTTTGTAAACTATATATATTTATATATAATATATGTGTTTTTAGTAAGATAGCTGATTTTATGCTAATTACATATAATTACGATATTGAACTCACCAACAACACTTGATGGCCTAAGAGATCCGAATCCAGGACGGCTTTGAATGTCAATGTCTGGAAATGTATTTAGAAATTAATAATGATAATTTATCTCAAATTTTATTAAATAATAATAAAAAAACTTAACAAAGTTTTCACAAAACAAAAACAATACGAGATAGCTCTGATATAAAAAAAATATTTTTTTATTAAGTTTTTAAGCATAGATAGTATTTAATAAAGTACCTTGTCCACCTACGAATAAACAAATAATTGTTAATAATTTAATATCATTATGTACACATTTCAAGTATCGTTTGAATAACCATTGACTACATTTAAGTACAAGTATTCTTTTAAAAGCTCCTACTAATCATTATTATAATAATGAACTCACCAACAACACTCGATGGCCTAAGAGGTCCCAATCCAGGTCTGCTTTGAATGTCAATGTCTGAAAAGGATTTTTTAAATTAATAAACTTCTTTAATGTAAATTGTAACTTTTAGTATTCTAAGCTTCTGAAGTTCAATATTAAACTTACCAACTAAATTTGATGGCCTAAGAGGTCCCAATCCAGGTCTGCTTTGAATGTCAATGTCTGAAAATGTATTCTAAAATTAATCAACGGTTTACTTAATCTACACTATTTTTTGTATACTAATTGTTTTGTTAATGCATAGTATATTTGTGACCGATTCTGATTGGTAGTGTCTAGAAATGTTTTTTAAATCGTTCACCAGTTTTTTCAATCTACATTGTAAATATTTCACTAGTCTACTCTTTTGGAACTCAATAATAAACTTACCAACTAAACTTGATGGCCTAAGAGGTCCCAATCCAGGTCTGTTCTGAATGTCAATGTCTGAAAATATATATTAAAATTAATAAGCTGTTTGTACAACCAGATTTGTAGTTTTCAGTATTTTACGTTTTTGAAGCTCAATAATAAACTTACCAACTGAACTTGATGGCCTAAGAGATCCCCATCCAGGTCGATTTTGAATGTCAATGTCTGAAAATGTATTCTTGAATTAATCAACAGTTTACTAAATCTGCACTGTAACCGTTTTAGTATACTAATTATTTTGTTAATGCACAGTACATTTGTAACCGAATGTGATTGTCAGTATCTAGAAATCGTTTTGAAATTGATCAACGGTTTTTTTCTGTCTGTATACATTGTAAATGTTTTGTAATTTACATTTTTGGAACTCAATAATAAACTTACCAACTAAATTTGATGGCCTAAGAGGTCCCAATCCAGGTCGACTTTGAATGTCAATGTCTGAAAATGTATTCTAAAATTAATCAACGGGTTACTTAATCTACATCGTAATGTTTTAGTATACAAATTATTATTATTGTATTTTTTACATTGCACAGAATAAAATATTTTTCTTTCTTTCTTTCTTCTTCTTCTTTGTTAATGGAAAGTAATACATTAGTGTCCGATTATGATTATCAGTGTCAGAAATGTTTTTCAAATTAAACAGCGTTGCTTCTAATCTTAATTGTGAATATTTTACTTGTCTACTCATTTGGAACCCAATAAGAAACTTACCAACTGAACTCAATGGCCTAAGAGATCCCCATCCAGGTCGATTTTGAATGTCAATATCTGAAAGTGTATTCTAAAATTACTTAAAGTCTTACTTAATCTATACTGTAACTGTTTTAGTATACTAATTCTTTTGGTAATGCATAGTACATTTGCGACCGATTTTGATTGTCAGTGTCAGAAATCTTTTTGAGATTAAATTGCGTTGCTTTCAATCTTCATTGTGATTATTTTACTTGTCTACTCATTTGGAACCCAATAAGAAACTTACCAACTGAACTCAATGGCCTAAGAGATCCCCATCCAGGTCGATTTTGAATGTCAATATCTGAAAGTGTATTCTAAAATTACTTAAAGTCTTACTTAATCTATACTGTAACTGTTTTAGTATACTAATTCTTTTGGTAATGCATAGTACATTTGCGACCGATTTTGATTGTCAGTGTCAGAAATCTTTTTGAGATTAAATTGCGTTGCTTTCAATCTTCATTGTGAATATTTTACTTGTTTACTCATTTGGAACCCAATAAGAAACTTACCAACTGAACTCGATGGCCTAAGAGAACCCCATCCAGGTCGGTTTTGAATGTCAATATCTGAAAGTGTATTCTTAAATTAATCAGTGGCTTATCAATTATATAAGTAAGTATACTATGCTTCTGATGCTAAATATTGTTATAAATGAATCCTAAAAATTATAGAATAATGCCTCATCAATATGATAGCTTTTAAATTCTACTTTTTTTGGCATTTTATTTTGTTAATGCATTGTACATTGTGACTGAGTTTCATTGTCAATGTCTCGAAATGTATTTTAAAATAATAAGAAGTATTTTCTATTCACATTGTTACTGGTGTACTAGTCTACGTTCTGTAACTCAAAAATAGACTTACCAACTAAATTCGATGACCTAAGAGGTCCCAATCCAGGACGACTTTGAATGTCAATGTCTGAAAATGAATTTTGACATTAATTAGCTATTTGTTTAATCTGAACTTTTAGTATTCTATGCTTGAGGAGTATAATAGTAAACTTATCAACTGATTTTGATGGACTATATTACTGTAAGATTTCATCAAAATCAATTCTTTCGTTTTTGCGTAAAAGAGTAACAAACATCCATACATCTATACATCCATACTCACCAAATATCGCGTTTATAATATTAGTAAGAATATAAATCATTCGTATGAAGGGCTCAAATAAATTTAGATAGGATATTGATTTTTTTTAATTATGAATATCTATATAATTCCATAGACAACTCACCGACAGCACTTGAGGGCCTAAGAGATCCCCATCCAGGCCGATTTTGAATGTCAATATCTGAAAATATATAGAGAAATTAGATTACAGCATTAATAAGTATCAACTCCATAACTAGCTTTAATAAGTACAGGTACAGGTATAGTACAAAAACTAATTATATAGCTGGTAAATTTAGTACTCATCCGTCATCATTACATGGAAAATTTTTAAGCGGTTATTATTAATTATTATTTTGTTTTTCACCGAATATTAGCACTTTCTGAAAAGTTAATAATAATAATGAAAACCTATAGTGAACTCACCAACAACACTTGTGGGTCTAAGAGGTCTCAGTGCAGGTCGCTGAATTTCAATGTCTAGAAATATATTAAAAGAATACCCATTAGTACAATAAGTTCAAAAGTCTACAAATTATTGATTTAATATTCAGTCGAAAAAATATTTTACAATGTAATTAAATTTACGGGAATGTACTGAGCATCAGCATATACTATTGATATAATGTCATTAATAATAATACTATTTTTTTAAACAAGTTTGTTTTTTAACAAAGATAAACGTATGTATTTTTTAATTATAATTCTATAGTAATAGGTATAATACACTACCTGGTCTGCCTACAAATAAATAAATAAAACATTATTAATTTATTGTCAGTAAGTACATATTTCAACTATAATATAAAATGCCATAGAATATATGCAGATCATAGTAAACAGTTTTTTAGTAATCGTTAAGTTCAGTATATATATTTAAGCTCTTACCAATAACACTCGTTGGCCTAAGGGATCCCAATGCAGGTTGTTGTTCAATGCCAATGTCTGAAAATACATTAAACAAATAATCAACTTTGAACAATATATATTAAAACTGTATTCAGCTCCTTTAAAGTTGAAAATCGTAATAAATACAGAAATTTTTTGTCCAGAATCACTATTTCAAATTAGTCGGATATTTAAAATTTGATTAAAATGATAGAAATTACTATTCGTTGTTAGAATATTAGAAATCTCAGCAATAATTGAGTATTAAGTTTACTACTTAATCATACTCATAAACAAGATTAAGAGATTCGAGTCAAGCCCGCTGAGTCTTTAGAGAGAGTCGAGAACGACTGTCCTCTTAATATAATTTACTTAAAATAATTATAATTAGAAGACTTTTTAATTATAATTCTACAATTAAAAAGTAAATTATCTTCTCTGTACAATCAAGTAAATAACTACTATTAATTTGTTCAATCATCAGTTGTATTAAAATCTTGAAAAACAATTTTCCGAAAAATTCGTAGTAATTTATACATTCAAAACTACTCACCAACGACACTTGAGGGTCTAAGAGATCCCCATCCAGGCCTGTTCTGAATGTCAATGTCTGGAAATATATTTAAAAAATAGTTAATACCTTATTCAACTAATTTGAAATTGAAATTATTCTACGCATCGCATAAAGCTAAAATATTATTTTTATTAAAAAAAAACTCGAATTAAAGCTTAAGTATTACACTAATATTCATTATATCTTTACAGACCAATGTTTATACATTATAATAATATGTATCATGTGATTAAAATGTTGAAAGCAATTAGAAATATAGATTTATCGAGACTACTAATAAACTTACCGACTAAATTCGAGGGTCTAAGAGGTCCCAATCCAGGTTGCTGAATGCCAATATCTGAAAATATATTTAGCAAGTAAATAACAACTCGAAATGGAATAAAATGCCTACCATTACAATTCCATAATATTATAATAAAAATCGGTCAAGATCGCTTGGAAGGCGTTGGATGCGAGCAGCGCAGGACCGATCGTCATGGAAATCTATAGGGGAGGTCTTTGTTCAGAAGTGGACGTATTCTGGGCTGAGATGATGATAATAATGAATATTATATAATAGACAAATTTTCTCTTTGAAATTAATAAATAATTAAATTTTAATTACCAACTAAATTCGAGGGTCTAAGAGGTCCCAATCCAGGTTGCTGAATGCCAATATCTGAAAATATTTTTGCAAGTAAATAACAGATCACAATAAAATATAATGTCTATAATTACGATTCAATATGCAAAAATTTCTCTTTGAAATGAAATGAATAATTATTTTTTTATTAAGACACTTTGCTACTACTCTATAAAGGATAATTGAATACTGATATTACATATCTGGAAAAAAAAATACAAACATTAGTAGTGAACTCACCAACAACACTCGAGGGCCTGAGAGATCCCC